AGAGACAGATATTTTAGATATAGAGATAGATATATATTATATATATATATATATATATACGACACACACACACACACACAGATATATGTACATATATATATATATATTAGATAGAGAAGGGATAATGATAGAGATATATATATATAGATATGTGTGTGGTGTGTGTGGGTGTGTGGGGGTCGGGGGGTATGGATGGATATATAGATAAGATAGAGATAGAGATGATATGATATAGAGAGATATGATAGTAGATATATAGATATATACATATATGATATATACCAAAAGATATTCATTTCATTATTTATGTATATATATAGAGATAGATATATATATTATATATAAATATATATATATATATATATATAGATATTATACATACATACACACACAACACACACACACACACACACACACATATATATATATTATATATATATATATATATACATATATCACAATTATATATTATATATAGCATATCTACATTTCTTATCATATATAGAGGTATATACATATAGATAAATGGATAACAGATATATATGTATATATATATGTATGTATGTGTGTGTGTATATATAGATAATATATATATATATATATCTATATATATATCTATATATATAAATATCTATATCTATATAGGGATTTACACACACACACCAACACACTACACACAGAGAGAGAGAGGAGAGAGAGAAGATCGTAGAGAGAGAGAGAGACTAGAGAGAAGAGAGAGGGATGGGACACAGACACACACAAACACAACACAGTAGATATAGAGATAGAGATGATAGAGAGAGAGAGAAGAGATGCGAGAGAGAGAGAATACACATGCTAATGTAGATGCATGAGAGAGAGATAGGCGAGAGAGATAGTAGAGAGAGAGGGATAGGAGAGAGCTGAGATATTGAGAGAGAGAGAGGAGAGAGATATATATAGGGACATGAGAGTCATAGAGAGATTATAGATATAGAGAGAGATGAGAGAGAGAGAGACTATGGGGATCAGGAGATGTAGAGAAGAGATGAGACGTCAGAAGTAGAGAGAGATAGAGATATATATATATAGATAATAGGGTGTGTGGCGCGTGTGGGGTGTGTGGGGGTGGGGGTGGGTGTGGGATGTGGGGGGGGGTGGACATAGAAGAGAGAAAGATGAGAGATATAGAGAGAGAGAGAGATAGATAGAGATAGATAGAGGCAGATATGGATATGCATAGTAGTAGGATAAGAGTAGAGGGAGAGGGAAATAGACAGAGGGGGGGGGGGGGGACAGGGACACCCCAACACACATTAGAGTATAGAGATAGAGAGAGATAGAGATAGAAGATAGATAGAGAGAGATAGAGAGAGAAGATGTAGAGGGCGAGAAGTAAGAGAGATAGGAGATAGAGAGAGAGAGAGAGAGGATAGAGCGATGGAGCGAGAGAGAGAGAGCGATGAGAGAGAGATGAGATGAGGAGATATATATAGGGAGAGGCAGAGATAGGGAGAGATGGAGAGAGAGGTAGAGGTAAATATGAGATATACAGATAGATATAGAGAGAATGAGAGATAGATAGAGGAGAGATAGGGAGAGAGGAGTAGAAGAGAGAGATGTATGATGAGAGAAGATAGAGAGAGACAGAGATAGAGATAACAGAGGATATAATAGATATAGAGATAGAGAGAGAAGAGATAGAGATGGAGAGAGAGACAATAGAGAAGATAGATATAGATATATATAGATATAGTAGATAGAGAGAGAGAGTAGAGATAGTAGAGAGAGAGAGATAGAGATAGATATGGTGAGAGAGGAGGGACATAGACAGATTAGATTGAAAAGATACAGAATATGCATGAGTACATAGAGATATCATAAGATAGATAGTAATATAGAAGATAGATATGAGGATATTAGGAGTATTATAATAGACACATACATATGATATATATATATATGATATGTAGAATGGATAGATGAGATATATATATAGATAGATGATATATATAGATATATAATAGTGTAGGGAATATAGAGATAGATATAGTAGATATATATATATAACTGAGAGATAGATCATATATATATAATAATATATGGTATAGGCATATATATGGATAGATGTAGATATATGTATATGTAAATATATAGTATACAATATATAATGATATAGATGAGATATATAATATATATATAGATATAGATATAGAGAATATATATATCTATATAGATATATATATATATATAGATACAATAGATATAGATAGAGAAATATATAGAGATTATATATAATATATAGATATTATATATGTAGATATGGATATACATTAGAGATAGATATATATAGATATGTATATCGGATATTAGCATATTATATAGAGTTAGATCTATATATATAAATATATATATATATATATATAGATAGAGATATATATATATATATATATTAGATAGTATAGATAGACCGATACATATATCTATATAGATATATATATATCGAGATATATATATATATATATATTTATAGATACAAAGATAGTCATTTTATTTATAGAGATAAGATATATATATATACTATATATTATATATAGTAGATATAAGACATACATAAAATAAACACACAAACACACAACACACACACACACCCACACACACCACATATATATATATATATATAATATATATATATATATATATATATATATATATATATGCATAGTATACATATATATTATATAGATTGTATATAAATAAGATAAATAGATACAGATATATATGTATGTATAATATGTATGTATGTGTGTGTGGTATAATCTATATATATATTATATATATTATATATATATATATATATATATATATATACATATATCATATATCTATATATCCTATATATATATATATAATATATATATATATATATATATATATATATATATATATATATATAGGGATGTACACACACAACACACACACACCCATATATATATATATATATATTATATATATATATATATATATATTATAGATATATTATGTATATATATATATACTGTACATATAGTCATATATCTATATATATATAATATATATATATATATATCATATATATATAATATATAGATAATATAGTACATATATTCATATATAATATATATATATCTATATATAATATAATATATATATATATATATGTACATATATTCATATATATATTATATTATATATAATAAATATATATATATAATAATATATATATAATATATATGTGTGTGTGTGTGTGTGTGTGTGGTGTGTGTGTGTGTGTGTGTGTGTGTGGTATGTGTGTGTGTGTTACTATATATATATATATAATATTAATAATATATACATATATATATAAATATATATATGAATATGTATATGCATATATATTGTATATATTTATATATATGATATGTAAATATACATATGTGTGTGTGTGTTTACATTTACACCACCCACTACACAAACATATTATAATATCTAATAGATATAATAATATATATATAATATATATATCTAATTAATGTATATATAATATATTATATATATATATTATATATATATATATATGATATATATTATATATAATATATGATAATATTATATATATATATATATCTATATATATATATATTGCATCATATAGTATATTTTATATATATGTATAGGAAATATATATATACATATATATATATAATATATATATTATATATAAATATATTATCTATATCTATATAGATAATTAATATATATAGTATTATATATATATTATATATAGATATATATTCCATAATACAATACATATATAATATATAATATATATCTATATATATATATATATATATATATATACATGATATAATATATATATATATACATAGCATATAATATGTATATGCAAATATATATATATATATATATATAGATATATATATATATATATATATATATATATATATATACGGTATGTGATTCAGCTACTTTAATCTCATTGGTATTTTGAAATAAACCCGATAGCTATTTTGACATGTTTGTGTTGAAGAAGATCTGTGAAAACCATCATGTACATTAGTATCTTACTTATTTTTTTCTTTTCTACAGACATACCAACTGCTTCTGGAAAGGCGAAGACGGTAGTTTTGTTTTATGCATTTCTCATAGCCGATAGATGATTTGATGAATGAGATTTTTTTCCTCGTCTTCTCTTTTAGTTTTGTTTACGATATATAGATATCCACGCATGCATAAGATGTAAAGTGTGCAACTGTTAGTAATATATGTTGTAGAGAATATCATACTAACTGGCAACCATACTATTGGTTATTCTTATTGTGAACGAAATAGGAAATGTTTCTTATTTTGTTCAGAACAAGGAAGTTATTTTTTCATAATACTTCAATCACACGGAAGAAGTTCATACCAGCACACAAGACAAAACATGCACACCATTTATTTCCTAAATGTATATGTATATATGATAATATATATATATATATATATATATATATGTGCACACACACACACACACACACACACACACACACACACACACACACACACACACACACACACACACACACGCATTCGCATATATCATGTACAAAGTACACTTTCATTTGATTTTTTTCAAGTTCCATGTTATCTTTGGTATCAAACCGATCCTTTTTTTCTTTCTTTTTATCGATGTTTGAGGTTTTCCTTTTCTTTGTCTATTGAGAGATTATATCAACACTATCAGATTTCGTTTAGAAATATTCTTTTTAGCTTTAAAATAAAAACTAAGTCTTAAGGTATTTTCAGTCCTTCTGCGTATATATATAAGCTTAGCATTCGCTTCCTGCTGAAAGTCTGCATTCCGCATATTACTCGTTTTCTGCTTTCCTTTTTCTGTGCATGGTTAAGACACTATGGATTCATGATTGCCATTATGATGAGTCTACAGCCGTTCTATGGCAACGCTTGAACCAATGAGTACATGCCCTTCGCTGACCTTAGTTATCCAAGGCATCTTCCTGGCTTTCGTTATCGCTCTCATCACTGTTGTCTCTCTTGTTATCAAAATGCATTTCAAGTAGACCTTTGGCTTTGTTACTCACTGTCTCATCCGTGTTCCGTTGTAGGATCTCGAGTTTCTCCTTTCCTCCAGCCTCTGCTATCTTTTGAACGATTGCTTGCTTGTCCCCACACTCCTGTTGGAATTTTGAGATGGTTAGCTATGAAGTAGGGATTTGTTTTGTATCATTAACGGTCGTCTCTGAAAGGTCTTCCTCTTCCTAGACCTTCCATACCCCCTCCCCTCTCTTTCGTCTTATTAATTCATAATTTGTCTCTCTCCGTACCCTTCCCTTCTCCTCATCTATCATCATACATTCCATCTATTTTGCTTCCCTAGCTTGAACAGGAGCAAAGCCCATCTCTGTCTCCGGCATCCCCCTCTCCCAATACATTTAAACACCCATACTTAAACACCAACAAACCGCATACCCACATCCACCCCTGCACACTATAATGCATAGACCCTTTATACCTTTACCACACAGTTGTTTCAACACCATGGCAAAGTATTCCTTTTTAAATCTTGTGGGCCCTGTTCCACTCACAGTAGGAACGCTCACTTCCATACTTACCGCCAGGATGTTATCAAGCCCCTCGAGGGCCACGGTGACGACAGAAGTTTCAAAAACACCTAAGACTGTTACGAGTGCTTCCACGCCGCCTGCAGCGACTAGTGCTTCAATCTGGCTCGGCGTGCCTCCCGAGGTTAGGTTGGAGAGCGCCCACGTCCGCTTCCTTTTGTACGTCTAGGATCCCTGATAGGAAAGGTTAGTAAATTAAAGGGGCGTATTGAGCAAGGTAAGGGTGGTCTTATTGGCCTAAGATTCCTAATTCAAAAGGGCAACTGCATCTAATGTCTGCCCTTAACACAATGAATCTACGACTTGTGTTCTCCTCATTACCAGCACTAAAGCTGTGCATATTGTTCAAGGTTGCACATTTCACCAATGATTTGTTGAAATATATAGTTTTAAAAAATGAACAGTCGTGTCTAGCGCGAGAGAGGCGTCACAGATCCGTTTCCTGAAAACTCTTGAAGTTTAACTCCTTTCTACCGTTCGTGTACCACCCTCTGCCCTAATAAAATCCTGCCTATACTCCATCTTTACAATCCTCAGTCTCAACAGTAGCATACCCTGAGCATAAAATGTTATTTCTTTAACTACTAGTTTTAGAAAAAGGCGGCAATAGTAGGAATGACTTAGCTAAATACTATGTATTTCCGCATGCGTATCAAAAGCTGTAAGCCTACGGTATAATAATTCCGGGAAATATCTTGATTTCAGAGGAATTAAATTATACTAAGTGATACGATTCATGTTATGTAGAACCTAGTTTATACCAATTAACCTGATAAACTTTTTTCCATCTACGTATTTTTTAGTGAATATTTTAAACCAAACGCTAAAATACGCCATTCTAACCACATTTACTCTGATCAGTGTGATCCCAGTTTCAGCATGATGAGCTTGATATCTCACAAATATCAAATTATTGAAGAAGGTAATACAACCTTGGTCGATTACCTTGAGCGTTATTATAATGGTTTGGTGAGACACACTAATTTACTGCATAGAAAAAATGCAGTAAAATTATAAATATAATGTATAAAAACTAATTGCAAAATTGATTCAAATAAATCAGTGCGAGGTGAAATAACAAGTTCTTAAAAATCAAATCATATCGTTTACCTCCTTATAACCCTGACGAGATCAAGAAGTAAATCCTCGTCAACCACCTGCTGGATCTGCCCTCTGGTCCCAGCCGTGACATTGGAGAGAGCCCACGCCGTCTCTTTACGGATGTTCCTGCGCGTGTTCCGCAGCAACTGCTTGTACAGTGGCAAAACACCAGCCGCCAGGGCAGCTTCCGTCTACGGGTTAAGTATTGGAAGGCATGTCATGGAGCTTGAGGATATATTTGAAAGGCGAAAGAGGGAATAAAAAAATGGACGCGATACGCTTGATTATTTAAAAATGCATATAAGATATGTAGGCTGCTGTTAGACTAATACGGTCTAAAAAAAACAAAAAAAAAAAAAAAAAACATAAATCACACGTAGTATTTCCACACTCGCTTAAACGTAAATCAAACCTGCAAGTCGTTGCCGCTAACGATGTTGCCTGATGCCCGTAGGGCAGGAACAATCATCTGACTCCGATCTGACCCCAGGTGACGCACGATGACGGGAAGGAGGTCTTCACGAAGCACTCCCTCGATCTCTTCATCGCCCTGCTCTGACAGGTACGAAAGGGCCCACAAAGCGTCCACTGCAAGAAGGGGAATTGAAAGATAACAGATAGTAATAAGTAGATTAAAGGAAAATATAATCAAGGAAGGAAAGGAAACAGGAAAGGCAGACTGATAGATACAGACTACAGCCAGAAAGACAGATATACAGTGAAGTACATTAGGTTAATCAAACAAATCAAAAGGTATCTGGCACTGGAATCTAGATAGTACTCATTAATGTTTATAATGATAGCAATGATATTGTTAAAATGAGAATGATAATGATAACAATAGTAATAATGATAAAGTATTAAAAATAATTATTATAATAACAACAATTGTAATAATAATTATAATTATAATAACAATGATAATAATATAACGATAATGATAATAAAACTAATAATAATGATGATAAAAATAATAATAATAATGATGATCATAGCAATGACATCAATGGCTATAATGGAGGTGTAGTAATAATGACAAATTATAATGTATTACTATGACGATGATGATGACGGTGATAATGATAATCATAATGATGATAACAATAAAAAAAATATATATATATATGATAAGCAACAGTACAAATACCAATGAAATAATGATAAGAATAGCAATTAAAAAGTGACAATGGTAACGGTAGAAATAACAAGTTCTCAAGCATGACAACTATAATCAAATGTAGAAGTAATAAGAATAATTATGATAATGATAATGATAATGGCGCGTTGTTGATTTGCTTGCTTACACGTTATCATTTGATGAACACCGACACCTATCACGTGACTTAGAATATCTTACCGTTGACTTCCTCGTCACGATAGTTGACTAACACCTTGAGAGTGGCGATGGATTCCTTCAGCTGTTCTGGGGTGAGTGTAAGGTTCTTATTGCGAAATATATTAGCAAGCACCCATGCTACCACTCGTATTGTAGACACCTGCGGGCAGAAGCGGGTCTAAGTTTCTTTTCCTATTTATTTTTATGAGCTATAATAACAAACACATTTCCTCATATTAAAATTATGACGTACTCATAAATATCTTTTATACTTTTAAAACAATTGTTGAAAAGTGAAGTTCAGTGGGATAAACCCAAGGTCTCTAACCGACTTGATACTTCCATTACTATTTTTCGCACCTAATCAAAATTAAAGACACATGTTTAATAAAAACTTTTCTTTATATAACCTTAGATGGGCCTTCTTTTCACCAGCCGCTATGATATCTATAAGGGGTTGTAAAATCCCCCTAGCAGTACGGCATCTCTGATTTCGGCCCATCTCCTGCGATGTTCCCCAATGCCCAGGCGGCCTGTTCACGCACCTCTCCCTCACTTGACTCAAGGAGTTTCACAAGTATAGGTATTGAACCAGACTCTGTTTGGGAGAGGACAATAATTATTATTTTCTGTTGGTCACTCTCTTGCTCTGTTTTTGTCCCTCCCGACTTTCTCTCTCTCAGGGCCGGATTAAGATTGGCTGATGCTCCAAGCACAATCTAATCATGCCCCTTTGACCCTCTTAGTAGTTCCCCCGGCACAGCCATTGGTTTCGGCTCTGCTGATTTCACCCCTTCACTCATCTGGTTTTCCCTTGGACCTCCCTATATTGTTCGTTTTGGCCTTCCAATGATGTCTCAGTATTTGCCATTTCTGCAGTATCCTTTTGAACCTTCCAGTGGTCCTTGACATATGTGAAGGTAACACTGCCACATAAATTAGTTAAACAATCCGAGAACACTGATGTTCAATTTCATCATTTAAAAATTCAGACTGGTACTGGGTATTTTCCACTGTATAATGTATATGTCAGATACTCCAAATTTCTGGCTAGTTTTGTTATGTATGGGCGACCTCAATGCAAGGCATCCACACTTTGGAGACAACCAACGTAATAGTAATGGGGAAGAATTCAAACATTTTATCAGTAGTAGATCACTAACAGTATATGACACAGAAACAGAGACTCATTTGGGAGGTGGCAGGTTAGACTATGTATTTGGCAAGAATTTAGTTCATGGTAATATCTGTACTACACTGGTGCGAGAGTTAGTTAGTGACCACTTTGCAATACGAACAGACTATACTGTAGACAGCGACTCAGCCCCTAAATCACCTAGGCTCAGAATAATCATCCCACCGGGCCTGGAGCATCACTTCAAGGCATGGGTCTATGACTGGTATAATACCTATGAAGTAACAACTGTTGAAAATTTTTCTTAGGATCTAATCAAAGTTGTCACTGACTACTATAACACATGGGTCTGTTCACAGAAAACTCTCAAAGAAAAAGAGGCCCCAGGCCTCCCAGGTACCGAGGTGGATCATGACCCAATTCTGGCCAAGGAACATCAACGGGTTCAGGAGCTTGCTAATTGTTATAAAGATGATAAGACGACAGACAATTTTCTGCAGTTTCTGAAAGCCAACAAGGAATTCAGAGAATTAAAAACTCAGATTCGTAGTAAACACTGGGAACAATTCTTGCAAAGTATCAGTAGTCTGTAGCTGACGTATGGAGAAAAAATTAATAGGCTGACAGGTAAAGCTCCCACAACACCGCAGTTCAACAAGTCGAAAATAGATAGAAATCTTAATATAGCAATAGCCTGTGCTGCTATTGACCCCTCCGACTTTGTCGAAATAACCGAGTGGGAACTGAGCAATGCCCTTCTGAAAGGTAAGGCAACCGCCCCAGGCGAGGACGGCTTTACTTACAGCATCCTTCGCCACATTGCTTAGGTGCCAGGCAACCCACTTTTACAGCTGTATAGACTCAGCCACAAGGAAACTTACCAAGCTCCTGGACTAAAAGCTTAATCATTCCTATACCCAAACCCAATACTGACAAATACAGACCCATTTCCTGACCTCCTGTCTGTGCAAAGTACTTGAGAGAATAATTCTGAACAGGCTCATGTATTGCATAAATGCTATGTTATCCCCCAGACTGTTTGGATTTCTCCCAGGGCGTAGTAGTCAGCACTGCTTTGCAGAGTACTTAACAACTCAATCCCAGGCATGCAAACCGTATTCCTTGATCTTAAATCTGCCCTTGATATTGCAAGCAAAGAAATTATCCTTGAGCATCTAGCTAGCTTTGGTATTCAGGGAAAACTGTTAACATGGATTCAAATGTATCTATCAAATCGATCGGCTCAGGTTCTCTTCAGGGGCATTAAGAGCACTCATACAAAAGTATTTTGAACTCGGCACACTTCAAGGAGGCGTACTTAGTCCATGCTATTTATTATCCTGAGGCATAGATTACTGGGCGATTTACCACTTGCAGGCATGACTCCATTATTTGCTATGCCGATGACATCTGCATTAATCCTCATCTGAGGAGAGAATGCAAGAGACTCTTGATGTACTTTCTGCAAGGGACTACTGAGTATGGCTTAATAATCTCAACTGAAAAAACCAAGGCATTTAACCCAAAGACAATCCCTCTGCCAAGTTTTCATATTAATGAAGTTGAACTAGATCTCTGCCACCAATACAGATACCTCGGGGTGATTGTTAATGATTCAGAATTCATCAGAAACCTGAAGTAATGGCTATGGGAGCGGCTGAAGCCACTTAGGACACTTGTTGGCAAAGACCATGGTATTAATGTCAATATTGCGAGACTCTTTTACTTGTCCTTCATAAGGTCAGTCATAGATCATCCATGCATTGCACCTAGTATTGTTCAAGGAATCAGAGTTGACTTGTATAGAAAGTGTACGAAATGAAGCCATGAGGATCATTCTTGGTGCCGCCTAGAACAACAAGGATTGTGAATATGAGACAGAACTTAATTTGCCTTCTCTTTATGAAAGAATATTATACATAAATACCACATTTAGTGTCAAATCAATTAGAGAACCCCTCCACTGTACAGAGTTCCAAAGACAACTAAAACACAGAATAGAAGAGCTAACTTTGAATGACAACACCGATTCATTCTCAAATCCGTGGATACAAGTAACGTGTAACACTTAGCTCAGCTGAACATACCCATAACTAAGACCCTAACATGGGCGCTCTGTACCACCGTGGAAAATGTCTGACCTAAGTGTATTTATACGACTGCCCCCAAAAAAGACCCCTGCTATACTTAAGCAGTGTGCACTTGCAATTATAAGTGAGCATCTAGAAATCCTGCCTAATGCATATGAATGCTACACCGACGGATCCTTGCAGTCTGGGAGCAGAGCAGGATGCGCTTTTGTTGTATATAAAAATAGTATTTTGCAGCACCAGGGTTCATGACTGGGCTAGCACTACATAAACTTTTTTTTTTATTATTATTATTATGCGACCTCCTATTCGTTTCAAACGAGTCTGTGTTGTGAAATATATATGCAATAATATTTCACAGAACAGTCCACTGGCCCCGTCCTCGCCAATGGCTGTGGTCGACATCCAACTTATTTTAGGGAGATGTATTTTCACCTTTATTACTTTTGTTTACAATTACATATTTCTCTCTATTCTACTATTTACAACAGTTTCCTCTATATCTAAATCCTTGAGACTAGTGTACATTGCCGGTTTGTTCCTTGTTCCTCGTAGACAGAGCAGTGAAGACCGTAGTAGTGAGAAGGCCAATCGACACCTCATCCATGCAATGATGGCGCTCTTCTGTTGCTGCCTTTTCTCTGCAAGTTGTTGTGCAAGGGATGAGTAGAATATCGTCGCTCTCGGTGACATTCCCCCAGAAGTCGTGAATACAAGAGGTGTGAAAGTACCTTGCTCGACTTCTCGGACGCGTTCGCCATACTCCCTCATTTTGTTGTTCTCATGCTTAGTGTGAGCAGAGGCGGAGTTCCTGGGATCGGTTGCTCGTGGCCATAGGGTTGAAGATTCGTATGTCGAAGAAGGCCCGTTGCCCTCGTACCCAGAAACTGTTGGCACTGATGTCTAATCTGGCGTCGTCTGCAGTGTTGGCGATTGGAGTGAGAAGTTGCGCCCTTCTGTGGGGATGAGGGGAGGTTCGATTCTCACGTCGCGGCACACCTCACCAAGCATTTGTGCAGTCACGTCCCGCACCTCGTCGTGGCGCATGCAAACAAAAGCCTCCCGTCTTGCACGTCATGGCATGGTTGGGGTCGAAAGCCGAATCGCATGTGCAGTGCTGGTGAAGGTCCTCTATTGGCCAACCATATCTCAGGGCAAGTGCGTCCACAAACTCCTGTTTGTTTAAACTAAACCCTTTGACTTTGATGGGGAGACTGGTCAACCAGTTAGATGCGCCGGTTTCGCGTGCCATACTCAGTCTTCTTTTCATATCCTCAGTAATTATAGAGGTTAGTTCTTGAAGTTGTGCCCACTGCTTTGTTTCTCTATCTTTTGTAATTTCCATTTTGATTGTTTTTTGTTGTGTTGTATCAGGCTGTGTATGTGTTTCTTGCGTTATTATGGCCTGAGTTAGGCTGGCTGAGAGCTTGACAGAGTTTTGGAACTCCATGGCCGCTATTTTACACGGGTTTGTTATGCCGAGTCCCCAGCCTTGGCGGAAGTTCGAGTATGGCTCTCTCGTTGGCAGTGGGATTTCTTCCACCTGATAGTGCTGGGGATCAGGTGCTTTGTAATTGCTTCCTCAAGTGGTGAAAGTAAAGGCTCGATGTTAGGTATAGTTCGCATTAAGAAGTTCCACTTGTGTTTGATACCGAAGGTGAGGCGGTATATGCTGAGTGCGATTTCTGCCAGCTCTATCACTTCCCTTCTCCATTCATCCACTTGCCTTGTTATGTATTCTTCCCTGGTTGCTGTTGTGCAAGAACTGCCCCAAGGTGTTTTCACCGCCGGCCTTTATAGTCACGTTTGTTTCTCGGAAGGCTTCTCTGGCTTGTCCGAGATATTCCGGTTTTACAATTAAAACCGATTTGGCGGCATTCAGAAAATATCCTTGTGGAGGGCCATGTGTCTCAATGAGATTCCACCACTTCCTTATGTTCTCAATTTTCCCTGCTCCGGTCAGGTCGTCGGCATAGGCAACTTGCTTTATATTTGTTGTTGTGTGGTCAATTATTGTTTGTAGCCTGAGGAGACCGATGGCGTACATCGCCATGGCAACTGGGTCACCTTGTGTTGTGCCCTCGGCTGAAGCTATCATCTCATAGGTATTTGTTCTATTG